GACGCAAACCCCGCCACCCACTCTTTCGTTACCTCCCCCGACCTCGTCGTTGCTATGACTATTGCTGGAACCTTGAATTTCAATCCTTTGGTCGATGAGCTTGAAGGAGCGGATGGCAAGAAGTTCAAGCTCAAGGCGCCTACCGGCAACGGTCTTCCCACCAGAGGTTACGACCCTGGCCAGGACACCTACCAAGCGCCACCTGAAGATCGCTCATCCGTCTCGGTCGCCGTCTCGCCTACTTCGGACCGTCTGCAGTTGCTTGAGCCTTTCTGTAAGCAATACCCTCCTACGAGATGCATTACACATACTGACTTTTCTTTCCTCACCAGCCGCCTGGGACGGCAAGGACGCGAAGAACCTCCCCATTCTCATCAAGTGCCAGGGTAAAACTACCACAGACCACATCTCCATGGCCGGCCCTTGGTTGAAGTACCGTGGACACTTGGACAACATCTCCAACAACATGTTGATTGGTGCCATCAACGCTGAGAACGGCGAGGCCAACAAGGTCAAGAACCTTCTCGACGGATCTTACGGTGCCGTCCCCGATGTCGCCCGCAACTACAAGAAGAACGGCGTCCCATGGGTTGTCATGTAAGTGCCTTTCCTATACACACTTATCCGCCTTTTACTAACTTCGATCGCAGTGGTGACTACAACTACGGCGAGGGCTCTTCCCGTGAGCACGCTGCGCTCGAGCCCAGGCACTTGGGTGGCGCTGCTATCATTACTCGCTCTTTCGCCCGTATCCACGAGACCAACTTGAAGAAGCAGGGTATGCTTCCTCTTACCTTCTCCGACCCTGCCGACTACGACAAGATTGGACCAAATGACAAAGTGGACCTCGCATCAACTCAGCTCGCCCCCGGCAAGCCCTTGACCATGACCGTCCACCCCGCTGATGGCTCACCCGACTTCGAGGTTCAGCTCTCACACACCTTCAACGAGGGCCAGATCGAGTGGTTCAAGAACGGCAGCGCTCTTAACACCATGGCCAAGAACGCTAAGCAGTAGATGCACAGAAGAGAAAACGAACGAAAACAATCACCACCGGGGATGTAAATACGGAGGACGGAATACCCCGCAACTGCTTCACGATTGGGGATGAAAGTCAAATCAGGGGTGGAGCAGAAATACGATGAGAGAGCTGGGCGTCCGCAGATGGGCGCAGCAGTAACGGCTCCTGGGTCGATCTTTCGGGTTCAAAGTAGTTGGGTTTGCTTGTATTTGTGATGATTAGCATGCAATGTATGACTGATTTTTTCTTGTTACAAGCTGTATCTGCTGTGATATGAGTGACGATCTGAAACGTGGCTGGCGAATACGTGTGGTTCTTTTGGTTGCGTACGCAAAGACACGAGGTATAGTGAAGTATACATTGCGATTTTCGCCCGTGTGCTGTAATCGGCAACTGCTGCGAATACCTCCAGGGTACGTCTTATCGTTTTGTACAACTAACAAAACTTGCATGTATTCGCCCCGGCTACTCCTAGAACTCGAGTACACAAGCTATGACATTCACACGGTGCGATTGAGGATGACGCGCACAGGCTGAGGCACGGTGCACGATACCGCCGCAAACGTGCGAGTGGATCCTGGACCCGTTCCCGCTAGTCGCCGGGACAACGGCCGACAACAAACACGCTCGGCAGTTCTTCCAACGTCTGGACATCCTTGCGCGAACAACATTCTTGGAACCAATCGCGCACACAACAGCTTGAATATCCTTACATATTACAAGATTGCATATCACCTCACCTCATCATGGCGCGTCTACGCAAACCAAGCCCGAACGAACCCAGTATCTTTATGCCACCGTCCGAGACGAGAGCAAGCCGATCCAGTCCCCGAAAAGCCACACTGCGATACGCATCATCGCAAGAAGATGACAGCTCGATACTTGTGCCAAAGAGGTCGAGGCGCACCGCGCAAGACATTAGCATATCGCAAGACGAAGAGCAGTCCTTCCGCATACCTTCGATAGCAGCGCCAAAGGATACGATCAGCCCCCGCAAGCAACGCGTACTGCGACCGGTCGAGAGCAACAGCCGACTCCTTCGAAAATTGAGTGACGAAAGTCTGGCAAGCCCAGAGAAGAAGCAAAGAGAGAGGAGGGTGCGCAGTGGAACAACAGATACGGATGTGGGAAATAGGAATGGGCTTATGTATGCCAAAAGCCTGGCTAGAAGCGTGGTGAACAAGCGGAACAAGAAAGGAAAGATCAATGTCGTAGGGGAAGTCGAGGCACAAGAGGCCGCTCAACGGTCACGAAGTAGGGGACACGAGAGCACGGAGGAGGCAGTCGCGCAAGACGACGAGGATGCCGAGGCCGAAACAAGTCTGTGGTGTGGCGATGAGGAAGCAGAGACACAAGAAGAGGTCGCTGAACCGGTCATAGAGATCAGCGAGGATGATGAAGAGGACGAGCCTGTCGTAACGTCGCGAACAAACCAGCGACAACCGCGCGCACGGCGCATCGTATCCGACAGCGAGGAGGACGAGAGTGAGCTAAGCGCACCACAGCCTACCAAGCAGCCTCAGCAACCAATCTTCAAGGTTCCCGAACTCAAACCGCCAACTGATCTGACTTCCATGCGACCGCCACATCGAAAGGGTCATAGTACGATATCGAATTGGGCGCAGGAGGTCGTCGACCTCACCGATTCGCCGGAGGCCCCGGAATCGTTTGTGCTTCCTGAGCGCACCCACGCTCGATCGAGCTCTTTCGCAGCATCCTCTCGCCCTACCAGCTCGGCGTCGAACGGCCCGCTCGCGATACTTACCTATTCACCCACACCTACCAAGCAACGCTCGCCCCGCAAAGCTCCGCCCATCTCGCGACCAGCCACTCCTCCCCTGGCACCTCCTAGTCCCACCAAGCTCGTCTCGCCCTCGAAAAAGAAGCCCGTAATCCCCAAGGCGGCCGATCTAGACGGAAGACCAAGCCTTGACGCGTTCTGGAATCCTGCAGCTGTCAACGACTGGACCGACCGCCACTCGCCAGCTAAGCAGCTCGTGTCGCCCAAGAAGCAGAAATGGAGGGACGACATAGTCAAGATGATGGAAGGTGTTGCTCTAGAAGACAGCAGTGACGAGGGTTATGAAAGCCCCATCGAGAGCCCCAAGAAGAAGAAGAAGAAGCCCACAAGTCGGAAACCAGCTAAGGAGAAGACACCAGAGACTGAGCCGGTCCCGAATGTCAAGCAGATCCGTGAGCAACGCAAAGCCTTCGCCGAACGCAAGCATGCCATAGCCGAAGCCTTCCTCGTCGAGCTCGACACCACAATCTCATCAGGTCGCATCCACGAGCTCTCGAAACCCACAGGTGGTATCAAGCTCGTCTGGTCTAAGACCCTCAAAACAACGGCCGGTCGTGCGAATTGGCGTAGAGAGCAAATACGCATCCGAACCGGTCCTCTGCCCACCGACACGCGCATTGAGATCCGACACCACTGTTCCATCGAACTCGCCGAGAAGGTGATCGATGATGAGGAGAGACTCTACAACGTACTCGCGCACGAGTTCTGCCATTTGACCACATTCATGATCAGCGAAGTGCGGAACAACCCCCACGGAGCGGAGTTCAAGTCCTGGGGTCGCAAAGCTACCGTCGCGTTCGCCAGCAAAGGCGTTGAAGTCACCACGAAACACTCCTACCAGATCGAATACAAGTACGTTTGGGAGTGCGTCTCCTGCGGCTACGAGTTCAAGCGTCACTCCAAGTCCGTCGACCCTGCGCGCCACTCGTGTGGAAAGTGCAAGGGCAAGCTCGCGCAGACCAAGCCCACCCCTAGGGGCGTTGGCGCCGGTGCTGCTGTGGGCAAGGACGGCAAGAGAGAGAAGAGCGAATACCAGATCTTTGTCAAAGCCAACTTTGCGCGTGTCAAGAAGGAACTTGAGGCAGCGGGCAAGGATGCGCAGATGGGCAAGGTGATGGAGGCTGTGGCTAAGCAGTATAGAGAGAGGAAGGGTGCGGGTAGTAGTAAGGGGAAGGAGATTATTGATCTGGAAGCTGCTCTGGATGACATGAAGATCTAGATTTGACAGTACATGAATGAAGTGTATGAATAATGCCCTATAAAAAAACTAGTTGATCTTCTGTGTCTGCGTCAAAAGTATAAAATCACGTGTACAGACATTGCGTGAGGTTGTATACACAAAGAAGCAAGGCCGTAAAATTTTTAGCGAAGGCAAAAAGAAAAGCATGAAAGCAAAAATAAATGTACAACCTCAGCATCTTGCTGTTATCGGACTTGACTCTCGCAGGTTCTGCGGCAACTGGGCCTCCCTACTTGTCAAGTGGCTGTTCTGAGACTCGAACTCAGGTTAATGGCCTTCAATTCGCTCATAGCGAGGAGGATGGTTACGCTATGGCGACCATAACAGACGACAGGATGATGGAGAATCGTAGAATTAACTACAATATATAGTTGATTGAAATCATCACAAAGTCTTCAGTGAGCTGTTACCGCAGCGGAAAAGATGAGAGAGCGGATGCGAGGCGTTATCAATTCGTCTGCATGGTGTGAAACAGTGAAAGAGGAGGCGGCAGTGCGAACAGACTAGTAATGGGCCTTGTATGGCCATCGGAACTGGAAATCGGACTCACCGTGGTCTCAATACGCTGCAGTGAAAGCAAAGCACTCTCGCATAGTCAGGCTCCACTGAATTTGTCACCAGCACTAGCTGAAGACTACAGTAAGAAGCTGAGGTTTATTAATGTTAATCATAGGTGAGGTGATTTGAGTTATACATTGGTTTGTATTAGGTTATTAGTGTCCAGTGGAGGTGAGCTTTATGTATCCAGTGGTCTAGCAGTAGAACGTAGATACTTCGAACGAGGACTGACATCTTCCAGCTCACTACATCATCTCCCGCTCCGACAAAATAAAAAGGAACTAGAAGGTTCTCACTACACTGTGTCCACACGATCAGACAGCACTTATCATATCCCAGCTATCCTGCTATCATCATCATACTAGCGTCGCCTCTGCGTCTTAGGGGTCGTCATTACCCACATCCTTATCCCCATCCTCAACTTTGTCCGCAGCCTCGTTCTTATACTCATCTGTAAATGGGTCCTGGTTCCGACCCTGGTCCTGGTTATGGGCATTCGCCGCGTTCTGGCCGTAGAAGCTCCATACCACATTATCCCAGTGGTCTGCAGTAATCGTCTTACCAGCAAACATCTTGAGCATGTATGAGAACTCGTCGTCGGAAAGATTACCCTGAGAGGGCACATAGGAGGACCCATCAACTGCAGGGGTGTGCGAATCTGCAGATGGCGCATCGGATGTCTGTGGGCGAACTCGCTGCAGTGTGTTTTGATACTCCAGGTGTTTGACGGACTCTTTGAGACGGATGTAGAGTTGGTTCATGGCGTCGATCATGTCGCGGGTGTCGTTCTGTTGGTCTTCTAGCGCTTTGATACGGGTTTCCATGTCTGTATTCGCTGTAGTTCCGGTGATAAGAGGACCAGCAGCTGCGTCATGATCTGTTGAAGTGGGATGAGAGGGGTTCAGGTCATGTCCCTTCTGCTTTCCCGTCTTTCCCATAGCTGATATAGGCTGGAAGGCGACGACCTCACCGTCTGTGTTCTTGATTTGGATAGCACGTACAGAGCGGGCGGGCTTTGAAGTAGCTGTCATGCGGTTCGATTGACCTGCCTGGTTCTGAGCTGCGTAACGGAACAGATCTCTAGAGGAAGAGGTTGATGGGGAAGAGCGAGTGGGCAGAGACATCCTTGAACCCTCATCCACCGCGCGATCAGCTTGTTGTCCGGTCCGCAGACCGGGGAACTCGTCCATTGCTCGGTCGGTGTCACGCTGAGAGCCTTCATTTTGGGGTACGCCAAGGCCTGGCGGATATACGGTGCTTGGTCGGAGTTGATTAATTGTGTTTCCATGTACACCAATTGTCAACCTGCCGTTGAAGTCCCCGTCAGATGGCTGTCTGCCAATCGCACTGTTGAGTTCCATCCTGCCAAACGGAGACAAGCCGTCATTGATGGAAGGGCTGCGATCTGGCGCAGGTCCTGCAGCGTCACTGTTGTGCCCACCGCGGTTGTTGGTGCGCTCAGTTCTGTTCGAGCCTCTGCCTCTTCCCTGTCTATCCTTTCCAGACTCATTGCGACGGCCACGCGACTGTGTATCGCGAGGACCTGTAGGCGCATTTGCTGGTGGGGCGGGGGCATCTGGTTCATTCTTGCTATTCGCGCCGCCTGGAGCCCACTTTGAGCTGTTCATAGTTCTTGTGTTGTGATTCCGCGTGGAGTCGTGCTTGTGTGTCAAAGAGGGTGACTGATCCGAATTGGGATGCGGGATGAGAGCCCGAGCTGGTGCTTAATGTAGGAAAGAGCAATCGCGTCAAGGAGAGCAAGCAGATTTGCCCAAGCAAGCAGTGCGAAAGGAATGGAAAATGAAGCACGAGACTGGAATTGTAGCTCACAATGCGTAGAAACAGTCAGCAGGCTCGCGCTTTGAGTTAGCGCAGGGAAACGATACGTCAGCTCAGCTCGCGTTTGCTGTGTCGTGTGCGCATTCTCAGTTCGCCATCTGGATTTTGTAGAACTAACGGGTCGAGGTTGGACGGACACATACAAGGACCTTAGATCGACTCTCGGATCCTATGAGTAAGCAAGTCTGATCTATCCACTTCGTTCTCATGTGCGTTGTATTCTTGCATGCGAATGCAATCCAAATGTATTCATCTATCGTTCCCTCGTATTATGTTCATGTACCAGTCACCTCTTTTTGTCCTTTTCTCAACATCTTCCTGCTATACTCATCTTCTATTCCTAAACTCTTTCCCTACAAAGCGATAGCAAAACCCACGGCTACAACCGCGGTGCTAATCGCCGTCCACAATGTCCTGCCACCAATCATGGCGCCACTCGCGTCACCCGAAGCAGGGCCGCTCGAGCCCTCGCCATCTCCCGTTGGGCTCGGCCTCGGGGGTGGGAAGCTTGTGTTGGACGGCACGTCGGTAAGGTTCTGTACGGTAATCCAGGTCGCCGCCAGAGCAGTGGTCAGGTTCGCGTCAGCCGCAAACTGGCTGACATTGAAGCCGACCCTGTTGTCCGCCAAGTCCGCGTACATGGAGGGTATGCTGAAGTTGCGCGGTTGTTGCATGAGGATGAATGTGTAGCTGTGGGGGCTGTCACCCACTGGAGGTGAGGGCTGGAGGTATGGGACGGGGTTGTCCGACGGAATGTCGAGGGCTGAGCCAGTTGTGTTCGCGGAGATGGGAACAGAGCGTGTGACGTTGGTAGCGATCCAGTGGACTAATTGGACGCGTGAGTTGTTACGGGGCACGTCGAGGTCGACCATGAGGAGGACGCATTGGCCGGGGCCTCGCTCGTCGGAAAACCATACTGGCGACGAGACGGTTGGGGGTGCCGCGGTTTCTGGTGGTGATGAGTGTTAGTTGGTGTCTAGCAGTACTCGGCTCGACTGCGCCGCGACGACAGCGGATGGAACGTACCGGGACGAGGGATGCGCTCTCCGCCGGGCGACACGGTATTGTTGCCGTACGTCACGGTCAAGTTCTGAGTGACGTCGATGGGAAAGCCGGGCGCTGATCCCGCTGTCGCAACACGTGCGAGTAGCGCAGTCGCGCTGAGAATGGTCTTGGTGAACATGGTTGGTGTCTTGGCTGGTGTTGCAGTCGGCGTTGTTGTGGAGCGGGTTGTACTGTTGTGATGCGGTTGTTGCTTGATGGTCGAAAAGCAACGGGCGCAAGCAGCTTCTTTAATATTCTGGCGTGAACTTACGTCGGCTGCAGGAGCTTAGGACTTGATGCGCAGCTAAAGGCCTATTTCCGTGTAGCCGGCGTGACAGCAGAGGTTCATGACGTTTACCAAGACTCGGTCCCTTGCTCGGGGTATCGCACGGCCAGCGGACGGCATCCCGGCACAGCTCAAGAAAAGGCTGGGGCTGGCCGCCTGAGGGGCCTTGTTCATGCCGCAGCCAGAATTATTCCAAGCATCGCGCTGGTCGCCTCGGCCTCAGGAACATCGTAAATCGAATTTACCGTGTTGTCCGCGAGTGTATGTAAGCACGCGTCGTTATTTGGTTGCGGTTGCGACGCATGCTCGCCTAGTTGGGGCCAAAGAGACGGGAGCCGGCTGAACGTCCAGCTATTCAGGCCGCCCTCATCGCACGATGCCTGCAATTAAGCCACGCATGAATCAAGTATGCCTGAGATTTGTCTATGCTCTATGGTTTCGAGGCCTTGCATCCTCACATGGACTTATCGGCGGCAGCCCTATCACCTCTCGCTCGGGATGCAGACGTTGTGTCCGCACAAGCGCAATGGTAACAGAAGCCGCGCCTCATCACCAATCCTCCAGGGCTATTATAAGGTGATCATGTGGTCTCGCGCAGGGCCGACACCAATCCATTTGACCTTGACTCCGACAAACTTCTCAATGTACTCAATGTAACTCCTCGCTTGGTTGGGCAGGTCGTAGTAGCTTGTCACGCCAGTCGTCGGCTTCTTCCAACCTGGCAGTGTATCGTATTGTACTTCGACTTGAGCAAGGATCTCGGGGTTCGCAGGGAAGCCTTCAAGCACCTCGCCCTTGTACGAGTAGGATGTCGCAACCTTGAGCTCGTCAAAGTCATCCAGGACGTCGAGCTTGGTGAGGTTGATGGCGGTGTAGTCGTTGCACGCGTGTGAGTGCTTGACAACGACCAGGTCGAGCCAGCCGCAGCGGCGCTTGCGACCGGTTGTAACGCCGACTTCATGGCCTACTGACTGAAGCTTCTCGCCCACCTCGTTGAGCTGCTCGGTAGGGAAGGGTCCGCTACTACTTGTTAGCCTCTGAGTTTATCTTTCGGTGCGATGCAACTCACGATCCGACACGGGTAGTGTATGCCTTGACCACGCCAATGACCTCCTTCAGTGACCGCCATCCCAAGTTGAGACCTGTGATGACACCTCCAAGACCAGTGTTTGACGATGTGACGAAGGGGTATGTGCCGTAGTCGATGTCCAGCATCAGCGCGTTCGCACCCTCGACGAGGATTTTGGCGTTCTTCTCCTTTGCCGATGCGAGGAGCGGGATCTGGTCGACGACGTAGGGAGCAAGCTTCTCGCGCAGAGTCTTTGACATTGTCAGTCTTTGTACCGTATAATCCAACCCCATTGTGACTCACCTTGTACTTCGTAATCTCCTCTTCCACATCGTACTTGAGTAGATCACCGTATCGCTTCTGGAACGAGTTGGCTAACCTCCTGAGCTTCGTCTCGAAGATCTGCTCGTCGAAGAGGTCGCACATGCGGAGGCCGCTCCTGGTCATCTTGGTGCTGTAGGTTGGGCCGATACCCTTCTTGGTCGTGCCTGCATCCCGCCATCAGCACTTCAGTCCCGCAGCAGGCGCGTGTGCTCCTCACCAATCATGCCACCACCCAATTCCACCTCCTCCAGGCCATCCACCATCTGGTGCACATCAAACACGACATGGGCGCGGTCCGAGATGAATATTCTTCCGTCCGTCTTCAATCCGTGTTTCTCCAGCGCTTCCAGCTCCTTGAAGAAACTGGGTACGTGAACAACGCAGCCACTTCCGATGACATTGATGCAGCCGGGATTCACGAGACCGCTCGGGAGGATATGGAAGTCGTACGTGACGCCGTTCGCGACAATCGTGTGTCCGGCGTTGTTACCGCCCTGGGCGCGGGCGCAGATTTGCGACTCATGGGCTAGGATATCGGCCAATTTTCCTTTTCCTTCATCTCCCCACTGTGCTCCGAGCACCACAGTAGTCGACATCGTGAGGGCGAGAGACAAGAAGGAAAGGGTGGACGGGGCGGCAGGTGGGTTTTCAATTCCGCGTTGACTCGATCTAACAAATTCGTGCCCCACCCATCACCCCGCGATGCCGCAATTTTCCGCACGAGCCATCAGTGACGCATGTGAATGAGCCGCAATCCATGTGTCTGGGCTGATCTGCAATCATCGCAATCACAACCTCTACATTGCTGTACAGCTACGTCGTTATCGTGGTAAACGCATCAAGATATGAAGAAATCTCATTTCTAATGTCTACAAACACTCCCAGTGGAAGTTTAGTCACATCCATACCTATCCTCCTAACCGCGCCAAACACCCGGACCCGGCGGCTGATATGTCTCTGGTGCCGATGTGTACTTGTTCAGGTCGACCAAAATTCCCGGGTCATTACTTCTGCGGCCCGCGTTAGTATGTCTTTAACACTCATCAGTTTTACTTACTTGTAGGCACCTGGAAACGCAACTAGCGGGCTCGGCAGCCCAATTCCTCCCCCTGTTATCTTGATCTGCGAGCAAGCCAGGTAGAACTGCGCTTTGTTCGCTTGCATAGCCATATGCAGTGCGATGTGCTCAACGCGGAGCAGGTAATCGCCTGATGGCGTGGCAGCAGGGATTGTTGTGTTGGGTGTGAGATACTCGTCTGCCAAACGTCATCAGTAAACGCGAATTGAAGAGAAGGAATAGCTCACTCTGTCCTGGCCAGCTCATCTGTTTCTGCGCGTTTACGGTCGGCATCGTGGTACTAATCTTGAACCACACTGCACCACTCCCATCCCAGCTCTTCACATCCTTGCCATCAGGAACTCTCGCAAGGTAGTACTGCGTTGGTCCCGGGTGATTGACTTGTTGCGTGGATATGTAGTGGATAGTGGATCCGGCCGGTACGCTTGCGACGTTTGGCGCGGTTTTGGAGGTGTAGCAGCGAATGTCCGCGACAGTGGGGTTCTGGCCAAAGTAAGTATCATAGACACATCATGGGCCAGTGGTAATTTGAAGAGTAGCTTACCTCGATGCCTTGCTTAGTGTTCGCATTCTTGGTCTCGCGGGTCGAGGCCCAGTCTTTATCTTCTGGCTTGCCGTCTACGACAAGACGTGGGAAGGTGTCTGTTGGTATGGGACTCATATCACTGGAAATCATTTGTTGCTAACTCACAATGTGCCTTGACCACCGTAGCGGCTACCAGGAGTGCAATCAGTATCTGCATGATGAGTGATCAGATCTTTGCGCCTGAAGAGCAGTCAGCTCTCGCTTGACATCTTATGTATGCTTCATGACCCCAGTTCCAAATCGGACATGTGAGCTGAGTTGGGAACTATCGATAGATTAGCTTGGCGGTTTGGCATACACCGAAGTAGTCTACTGCAGACCATACACCCATCACAATATACCATCATCGACAAAAGAACCAATAGGCATCAATATGTTTATGAATCATGTGCAACGGTCCAGCATCTGCCGAAACAAAGCAGGCCAATGCCCAGACCGCATGTTGCCAATAGCTCACCAGATCAGTAGCATAGTTTACCATCACAACAAGCATATGAAGAATTTGGAGGCCCATGCATTACTGGGCAAGTTGAAAGGGAAAAGTTGAATTCCCAAATGCCCTACGCTAACATCGAGCAAAGTAAAAACGAACGAAGTGTTGAGGTCGTATCGAATCGTAAACACACACGTCTAGTGCATGTAGCGGAACTCAGGGTGTCTATATCCGAGATCCTTGATCTGAGCAGCGGTCTTGCCGACCAAGCGGTGGTCTCGCCTGCCCATGTCACGCTGCTTGTTCTCCCACTTGCAGTAGCAGATACCGAATATGGCGAGAATACAGACGCAACACTGACCAACCAAGTTGATGGTGTGGCCAATTGGGTATCGTGGCGCATCAGCACTTGTGTAGGTCCTGTAATGTATTAGCCTAGGATTTGATTCAGTTCTTCGCATGATCTGACGTACCAAGTCGCGAGAATACCTCCAGCGGTACCCAGTGTGACAACGTAAGCAGTCGAGACGGAGCGGATAGCAGGGCCGGCCGCATTGTTCGCCGCCCACGCAAGGAAGCCAGGACCTCCGGGAAATGCACCAATGGTGATCAAGAAGATACCGCCGTATCGGACGTTAGGGTCGGTCGCCCATCGCATGATCGAGAAGCCCGCAATAGCCGGGAGCGTAAAGACAGCGAGGTAGACACCACGGCGGTTCGTCTTGTCTGATGCGAAAGCTATTGCGATAGCAATCAAGCAAGCACATACATAGGGAGGTACTGAGTAGAGTTGTGCCTTGGTGGCCGTCCATCCGAGATCCCTGAGGATAGTGGGCTAGTAATGTATGTTAGTAAACCATAGGTGATGGAGAGAATATCGGCTTACCATGAAGAGGGAAATACCCTGTACAGTGATGTTGATGAAGAAGAAACCAAAGGCACAGAAGTAGTTTGTGATGTTCATCACGGCCCGCTTGACGTGGTGTACTTCAGTCTTTTCGTTCTCATCGGCTCCTCCCTTCAGCACAAGTCTCTGTGTGGCAATCATTCGTTCGCGCTCGTTCAAGAACCAGCATTCTTCTGGGCTACGAGGCATAAGGAATGGAGCAGCAAGGCCGACAATGACGGTAAAAAGTCCCTCAAAGAAGAAGATGTTACGCCAGGTATGGAGAATCATAGTCGAAGCTCCCCATGGTGGAATACGAGCGAGACTATAGTGTAATTAGTCTTTCATGTAATCTCAAGAATGTGACAAGACCTACGCAGTAGCGAGCAGTCCACCAAAAGCTCCAGCCATTGAGGCCGCGGATACGTAGATGCCGATGCGGAACAAAAGTTCGTTGCGCTTGTAAAAACATGTGATGAAGAATGCCAATCCCCTACAGACTGATGGTTAGTATGCACTACAAACAACGATAGAAGGTACTTACGGCATCACACCACCTTCAAACACACCTAAGAAGGCCCTTGCAACCAACAGCCCTGCGAAGCTGCTCACAAAGGCGCTGCATAGTGAGACAAAACCAAAGCCACAGACGAGAAGTGGCAAGTAGTATTTCGGGCCAAGTCTCTTGAGAAGGATGTTGCTCGGTACTTCGACGAACATGTAGACAATGTAGAAGATCGAGGTAACCCAGTTGAAACGGACACCTGTGTTGAGACCTAATTCCTCTCCCATACCCTGGATACGCGCGTTTCCAACATTGACACTTTCAAAATGGTCAGCGAACAGTTTTGCGCAGAGTGAAATGATACGTACCGATCGAGGAAACAGAGCAGGTAAAGGAAGGTCGTGAGCGGCACAATCACGCGGTCCAGTTTACGTCGAACCTTCTTCTCTTCCTCAGCTGTCCAGGTAAACTCGCCGTCTGTAGATCGGTCGCTTCCATTGGCCTCCTCAACTAGCAAATCCGTTAGCACATGTTCGCAACAAGATTAGTAAACAACGTACAAAGCACATTGTCTCCCTTCTCCAGCTCAGCAGGGGTTGGGTGGTTTGGGTGTGTCCCCGTCGATACCATCCCGATTTGTGCCATCTTGTCCAAGTAGGATGCCGAATTCGAGATCTAAAGGATGCGAAGCGAAATCTCTTCGTTGTGTCGTGGCCCCACAAGTTCCGAAAGTCTGGGGAAAGGAATCTGGGGAAGAGCACAGCCCATATAAGAACGTACGATGCGTCCCGGTATCCGAACAAGCTTACTCGTCGCACGTCTGTGTCTTGGGTCGCAAGTCGAAAGCCAGGAAGAGGGAATCGGCAGTTACTTCGCAGCCTTCAGAGGATGGCAATACGGCACCATGTTTAGCTTGATGTCCGCTCCACCGCGCGCTCTTGTCCCGTTCCAGCTGGCGGCTTGATTGAACAGGGAGCGAAGTCGGTGCGGAAATTTTACCGAGTCGACACAGAACCCTACATAACGCCGCATAATTATCAACGGCCTCCTCCTTGGTTGGCGTGTTGCGGGGCCGTTCTCTTGGCTGACATGGGTTGACTCGTGGAGCCCGCGAGGGTGACGGGCGGATGCTTTCATTGTGGTCATTTTGAAACGCCACGCTTGGCGAAGCGGGACGAGAACTTTCGTGTTGCTAGCAGCTCGCGATGCGCTTCGGCAGTTCTGTTCATCTTCTCAGTGCTTCTTGATGGTGTTAGCAAACTGTAGTTATGGAGTTCTTCTCCTCGTAGATTGAACTGGGGTAGGGCGGATGATTGCGGTCAGATTACGGGCGTAATGTGTGACAGAAGATTTATCCACCGTGGACGAGTTTTGCTGCCGCACCAACAATGTGGGTGATTGACTGCTGCATATCAGCGCGGCAGGATTGCATACGGTCTACAGTATTCCAGACAACTGGGTATCCTTGCCGCCGAGGTCTAAAGTGATGCAACTGGCAGCCTTCACAGATCATGATGTAGCTTTGCTGCTCATGCAAACAATAACATCCCCGCAATTTAGCCGGAATCCTTCGTCGTCCGGTGGATTTTCTTGGTTTCTTTGTGACTTTCCGAGCAACAAAATGCAAGAAATCCACCGACGCGTACTCGCAAGTAGAGCCCCTAAGCTTCTCAGCGAGTAGAGTGTGTGATAGGGTCCATCAAAGTGGGCGGGTCTCGTAGCTGGACTGTTCCGCTCGGCCTAGCCGTATAGTGGCTGCAGGTTCATGGCTCGCACAAACGCAGAATGCAAAAGCTTTGGGAAGTCGAAAGACGCGACTCGGTGGCCGAAGATGGCTGTCAGTGCTGCGAAGTAGGACGGGCGCCAGCGTCGGGGAACAGGACGCTCTTGCCAAGCTGTCGCGCCACGTGGCTGAGATACTGAGCTTCACAACATTGCGAGTTCCATAAATACATACTGACCTACAGAAGATCAAATAATTTCAATTCGACAAGGATTCGCAATTGCAGTATTCAAAGCGCCGATCATCTCCAGAGCCTCGTCCTCAGAGCTTCAACTTCTCGAGGCGCCGTGTCAACGACCCACGACTCCACAAATCATCGCGTCAAGGGCCACTTCCCCTCACAAATACATGAACCTCCACAGTCGCACACGGGAACGGATGTCCTTTCTCGGCAACGCTACCTTTGGCGTCTCGCCTCCGTCTCCGCCAACTCCTTCATCACCTCTCTAATCTCATTAGGTCTTACCGGCGCGTCATCCAGATCCACCTTCGAAGCTGATGATACTATAGATGCGTGGGCTTTGGCGGCTTGGGTGGCTGCCCCGGCTTTCTTTTCGGTAGCTGATCGAACACGGCAGTCGTCTTAAGGGCGCGTTTGTTCCCGCGATCATCCTCGGTTTCGGCTATTCGATCATGTGACCACTCTTGGACATCGCCTCCAGCAACTTAGACTCCAAAAAGATCAGCTTCGTGGTGATCGAATACAGGTCAAGAGTTTTGCGCACCGTTATCAGAGAGAGCTGATTGCAACTCTTCTCGAAGCTCCAAGATTGCGATTTCCAATGCCATATTCTGGTCGTCCATTTGTCGGACGAACTCAGCTTGCTCTACCGCCAAGATGTCAAGCTGAGTATCTACTTCTTCAGCATGGCGCTGACCATCTGACAGTAGCTCTTCCAGAGTTGCTTTAACCTCATCTTCAACCAAATCCAGGCTATCTGCAAGCTCATCTCTCTCTTCTTCAAGCGCGTCCATCCGTTCCCTCAACTCATGCACTGTGTCTGTTTCAGCAGCGTGAGATCTAGTTAATCGCGCGAACGCTTCATCGCGATTAGCTTCTTCTTGCTCTAGACATTCTCCGCAGTTTTCGTCCCTGTCTTTCTCGAGCTTTCTCCAAACAGATCGGTGATTGGCAGCTTCTGCGGTTTTGGCAGTGGCACAAGACCATGTCGTTAGATCTAGATGCCCGCAGGCGAATGTTGTCTCGAGATCGACGTGAACACAGATGTCTGCTGTTGCTACCTTTAAGTCCTGTTCACGCTCAGCCTTCCGTTGCTGAAGCATCTTAGCAGACACGGTCCCAGCATCTCGAGCCTTCTGTTTCTCTTCGTTACGTTCGCGACGGAGGCGATTTATGAGTTCCGTTACACAGGGTCTGCATTCGTACTGCCTTGTCCTAGTATGGTCTGCAGTCTTCTTACAACTCCTCTCCCCACAGGGGAGGTTGATCTTGCTCTCGTGGCCACAGTCGTACGTAATTACGAGAATGGTACACATAACGGACAATATGATTTTGAGGTAGCGGTATCCGGCGATCTCACTCTGCGATTAAGATATGGGTGATAGACACGACTCTCGTATAGGTTTTGAGCATCTACGCTACAACCTTGGAATGATCAACGACGTGTCACTCAGAGAGTCTTCAACAGCTTCAACCTTGCCATGTGAGCCAAATCGTCACATTGGGCAAAACGGGTCACATTGGTAAATGCTTCACAAAGACAACTAATTACAAAACCATTACATTCGGCACACGATTTCTGTTTTCCCCAGAAAGCGCCGTCCACTACCTGCATCCTGTCATCGCCAAACACCCATTCTACTTGTCTGCTCTCAATTATCACGCTAGCCCAGGATGTGCACAACATATCGCGTTTACTTCTACTGCGGACACCTAAAGTCCACGACCACTCACGAGCACTCTGGCATCGAGTGCACAATCAACGAGGCGAAGAGCATCACAATCGACGAAAAGTGCAAGCGCTGCGTCCAACGGACATCTCGAAAGAACGTCCGACTCGGCGATATCATGAACGGTGCGGAAGTACCATCGATAGTAAAAGGTGAGGAGAGCGGTGCCCATAGTGGCGACAGTGAGCGATGATAGGAGGTTCAGAAGACCAGGAGTTCTCAATATTTAACTTCACTATCATCGAACCGTCATGAACAACCTAGAGAGCAAGATGACACATATGTCGGGGTCTGGATTGGAATCAGACTAGATACGCATACGATGAGGTAGCCCTCTATGCGGTGATCTACGCTCACAGGTTTATTATGGAAGTCGTAGCATCGCTGAAATACGACGTACTCAAATCTCGCGTTGCGTCCGATGCATGCAAACGCGATGACCTGGTGAAGCGCTTTTACGTTCATGGGAGTAGCCTATTGTCCAGATTGTAGTCACATAAGCCCAGCGTGCAGTTCTCCATGGTCTCTTCAGCTCATTTCAAGCATCACAGCACCCTATATGGCAGACATCACTGTACCTGTCAGTCAAATTTACGCCACCTACCGCTCCCTTGGAAGATATCTGGAGAATCCCAATACCAGGCTGTGGGAAGAATGTCTAGACCCATCGCCTTATAGATTGCACGCGGCATTACTCGTGCCCGGCGAAGGCTCCATAGACAGCACCCCTCTTCTGGTGCTAGCCTTGTCGACGATGGACATAGAGCTCCCGAAAAAAGATCCTTATCGTCATGAGTGCTGCGACCGACATCTCGACTTGTGACTATCCGTTGTGCGAGGGCTCGACGAGATCGCGGTCGCTAATTGGCGATGAGTTGTCGGCACCTGAGGCGTGGACTAGAGATCGGTCTCTGCGCGAGGTGCTGGAGCGACTTCTGTATACGAGATATGTGCGACGAGGGCGCTATGCATGACACAGTCTTCGGCGAAATGTTATGAATGGTATCGATGCGAGGAGAACGGGGCGGAGAGGAAGCTGTTGGACGCGTTCAGAACAGCTGATCCGAAGACGCGGCGGAATGAACATGGTCGGGGGGGCATGTGAATATATGGCATGTCTGCTCCATGCTGAGCTACATCAGTGTAGACGACCTGCGGGTTGTGTAGGAAGCCTCGCAAGCTTCCAAGGTTGGGTTCCCAGCCGCGTTCCGATGCGCGGGTGTTGCCGGCTATAATCCATAAGTTCCGACGGAGATTCCGATCAACTCACCACGCCACCTCCACAAACGCTTGACTTCGAGACTTCACACCCCAGATCACATTCCACTCAAATCACGACGCGTCTTACTTGATAACCAACATGGCCAAAGTCGAAGGTGCTCCTGCTCATGGCGCTGTAGCCCACCTCCTACCACAAACATACAAGCGATTAGTCTCGGAATGGCTGGAAGAGGACACACCAAGTTTCGATTATGGTGGTTTCGTAGTGGGCGAGGAGCTGTCGGAAGCGAAGCTGCTCGGAAAGAGTGAAGTGAGTGCTTTCGACTACTGTAAGTGCCGACTAACATTGACAGGGCATAGTGGCAGGCGTCCCGTTCTTCGATGAAGTGTTCCGACAACTAGGTTGCACGTGCGTTCATCTCACCAGATTACATGATCAAGCTTAATATTGACAACTACTAGCGTGGAGTGGCATGTCAAAGAAGGCGCTTCGTTCCAACCCATCACCCACTGCGCTACTGTGCGCGGCCCGGTCCGTCACCTCCTCCTCGGCGAGCGCGTGGCTCTCAACACTCTCGCTCGCTGCTCCGGCATCGCGACCAAGTCGAATCGCCTACTTGTTCTTTTACGAGGAGCTGGTTACCCAAACATTCTTGCTGGTACCAGGAAGACTACACCAGGTTTTCGACTTGTAGAGAAGTACGGCATGCTGGTGGGGGGCGTGGACGCGCATCGAGTTGATCTTAGTGCAATGACAATGCTGAAAGACAACCACATCGTTGCCGCAGGGAGCATCACCAATGCTATAAGAGCGGCCAAAGCAGCTGGTGGCTTCGCAATCAAAGTCGAAGTTGAATGCCAATCGTTTGATGAAGCTGACGAGGCGATTGCCGCTGGCGCTGACATCGTCATGTTAGACAACTTCACCCCAGAAGGTGTCCAGGTTGCTGCTAAAGACTTGAAGGATAAGTGGGGACGGGGTACTGGCGACAGGAAGCAGTTCCTCGTTGAAGTGAGTGGTGGGCTTACAGAGTACAACGTGGAGAAGTACGTCTGCGGCGATATTGACATCGTGAGCACCAGTAGTATACATCAAGGAGTACCACACGTGGATTTCAGTCTGAAGATCGTACCGAAAAGCAAGAAGGATGGAGGGGAGAGTTCGGCAGTATGACCTGACGGCGGGCGAGGGGGACTCGTTAGTGATCCTTGGGTACATTAAGATATAGCTCACTAATTCATCGTAGTTAGCCGAGACATAAGTCACCGGTCAAAGACATGGCTTTCGCCATTATATTAATTCCCGGAACTGTCACGCATTCGTGCCATGACCGCCGATGCTGAAGTAAAGACACTTACCCTTCTAGCAAGGATAATCACGGGTTCAAGCAATCGCTGTCCGTGCTAATCCTCAATACGACAAGATCATCGATGAAAGCGCTCTTGTCGTTGCTGCCTCCCAACATATGGTTCCACAACGCCATCGACTGTAATACGTGGCCGTGTTATACCCCTGCTCCGGCGTCATCTAGCCGCTCTGCGCCGCTCCTTCGTCTGTATCAAACTCTTACAACCAATCTTCTTCGTTGCGCTTACCTACGAGTCCTTTGATCTTCTCAACCGGCGGGCCTGATTTCCGGTGAGGTGGTACGGATCCGCTTTCCCTGCGTTTTGCCGTCATCCCGGCCATATATGCTAGATAACTCGTGCGTCCGCCAAATACATGCGACGGTCTCAACCCCTAGGTCGCTGTCCTTCTCCATGGTCTCGTCTGTCTACTTTGAGTCGAAGGGCTTCTCGTTGGTCGTACTGAATCGATGTACATCATGGCGAGGAGACTGACTACGCTGGTTGCCCACGCCCTTGACGCCCCGGCCATATTTTACGGTCAACATTACTTAGATTTGGAATCTTATCCAGCAGTGGGTATACAAAGTCAAGGAAAGCTTTGTCGCTCCCTTGAGTAGCATTAGCAAGCGCTGGTGAGAAGTATAGCAGTTGGACCCCATAACAGTGGGCCTATATGTGGTCCTGGCGCGAACCGTGCCTAATGAGCAGCTTCCGCGAAAGTTTAAGAATTCAGGCTCTAAGCGAACTACCTTTGCTTCGCTTACCTTCCGTGTGCGCCGTAGTCCAGACACGAAGGAACGACATCCTCTCGCTTCAATATCGTGTTGTAAATTACCATGCTTGCACTGCATGAAGCCAAACCACTTTCTATCGACCGCCATGTAGAGCTCCGAATCCTACATCGGCCACGCCGGGTGACAGAGCACGCATATGCACCATCTCACGTATATCTAGGCATGGGGAAAACAAGTATAAACGTGTGAGCTGTGAGCACCCTCTTCGCACCATCGATCAGTCGTTCATGAACCTCAGCTCCATCAAACCCTACGATACAATTGCTCTCCTCGCTTTCTCAATATGCAACACTTCAACACCGTCCTGGCCCTCGCTGCTGCAGTGTCAGCTGTCGATATCAAATCGCACGGCGAGTCACACTGCAAAGGGGTTACCCACACGTATGTGAACGCCAACCCCAACAAGTGCTATGGCCTTGGCGGTACATCCTGGGCTTGGTCGTTCAACGCTATTCCCACAAACTGGAATCTGGAAACTCGAACTCACAAAGATGGATACTGCAAAACGTTAGTTCACGCCTGGAACTCGAATGGCGCAAGCACGGTGTGCCATGGCGCAGCCGTAAACAACCTGAAGTACACGGGTGCTGGATACAGTTTTGCCAATAAGAAGAGGTCGGAAGACACTGTTTTCAACAGCGAAGACTGCATCTGGAAGCCTGACCTTTTGACGCTGAAGGATGGCACAACATACATGCTTACGGATGTTGAGGACGAAACCGTGAAGATCATGTAAGAGAATTTCTAGACACCGGACATGACCCTGGATATGATACACTAACTGCATCTTCCCATAGACTCGCATATGGTGACAACACCACGATTGCCGAAAACATGCCAAACCTGTTCGACAAGTACATTACACAGGAGCGTCGCTGAGCGCCGGCAAGATCGGTTTTTGGTGGCCCCTAGTGGGATGCCTTGGTTGAATATATCCAATCAATCTCCTTCAACGTTACTGCAACCACGCAGAGCAGACGCGTTCACGACTTCCAAAGCTCACATCACACGTATTCAATCAGGACCCCTGAGACAAGAAAACGAGCAAATGAGATGATCCGACAGATTTTGGGCGATCAATCCAAGAGAGACTCATCTTGCTGTATACTATTTGGATATCACACACAAATTTATTTAATTTGATGATCGTCCTCCTCAGTTCCCACTGCTTCTCGTGTTCATATCTCTTATGTTTGGTAACACTTGGATGATGATGATGGTCTTGCTAATCATCGTCCCTGCATTTGAGTGATGTCGATGTGTGAAGGTGGTAAGCCCAACCAAAGGCAATTCTCTTGCCTTACCCTCTGGAATGCTCTCTCAACACCACATCAACCATCGTTCTCGTGGCACATTCACTTTGGCAACACCGTGCTATTGTTGGCTTACAGCGCAATAAAGAAGCATCAAGAGCTTGGATAAGCGCTAGGTTATTGTGCAGCCGTGAACTCAATAGCAACAGCGTGGCATTGTGCTGGCGCACCTTCCGCCTTCCGACTTGGTATGACCAGTCCTTTCCGGATTACGCCAACCTTCCCACAATGTCGCATCACTGTATTATGGTCAATACAATTAACCTATAGAACAAAGTCATTTTCTCTCTCACACACTTCTCATCATTACCACAAACCTTTGCCGAACAACATACACAGGTACAAATATGCGCACGAAACTATCGTTTACTACGACCCTGGCGGCTCTGGCCATCCTAGGAGATGCGCACGGAGACCATGCTAATGACAGCAGGCAGTACACGCTAACAGACGATCTTAGCTACAAGAACTTCTTCTCCGCCTTTGACTTCTTCAACGAAACCGACCCAACGAAAGGCTTTGTCAATTATCAGAATCAGGAAGATGCGACCAAGCAGGGCCTAATAGGCTACCTTGAGGACACAAGGTCCGTGTTCATGGGTGTAGACTATACCACTAAAGACCCTACTGGCCGCGCTTCTGTTCGCCTTGAGAGCAAGAAAAGCTGGAATCATGGACTACTCATCGCAGACATTCGTCATATGCCTTCGTCGGAATGCGGCACTTGGCCAGCCTTTTGGCTTTTATCGTCTTCAGTGCAATGGCCGAATGGCGGGGAAGTCGATATCCTCGAGGGTGTCAACGACTACGAAAGCAACTCTATTACTTTACACACAACCAAAGGCTGTGTTGTTGATAACTCGACTGCGGCTGGAGGAGGATTTGGTGCTGTAGGTGGTGATAACAATGCGCCATTTACTGGTCTTATGAGTACCGACGACTGCGACGTCGCCGCACCTGGCCAAGAGAAGAACGTCGGATGCTCTATCCACGCTCCTGACACCATGCCTGGGATCCAAAGTGGCGGCAGTAGCGGTAGTTCCGACAATACTGATGCCGCGCCTCTCCCATCTTATGGTACCGAATTCAACAAAGCGCAGGGTGGTGTCTATGCCATTGAGTGGGCCGCCACCAGCATCTCAGTTTGGTTCTTCCCCCGCGACTCCCCGGGCTTCACGGATAATTTCTCTTCGAACACCACGACACCCGACCCATCAACCTGGGGCACACCTATAGCGCACTTCGGCGGTGCTGGCTGCGACTTTTCTGAGCGCTTCAAAGATCTTCAGATCATCTTTAACACTGCCTTCTGCGGCGAATGGGCAGGCGCCGAGTGGGATAAGTCTTGTGCCAAAAAGACCGGTGTTGTTACTTGCAATGAGTATGTACGCGATAATCCCCAGGCCTTCGTGGAGGCGTATTGGGAAGTCGCGGGATTGAAGTGGTTCCAAAAGGGTGCTGCGTAGAGGCGGAATACCGTTGCAGTTCTGCCGAAACGCGAGGAAGTTGCCCATTTCCCCGTGAAAAATGCCAAGACAAAGGGTAGATGGTATGCTTGGTGACTATCACATCCGTATTTGTCGTGTAAGCTGCGTCTGGGCTACGGAACTGTTTCGCTTTCCAATGTCTTCAAGCTTAGCTTCGCGGATGTCAAATTCGATGCTTCCTGGTTCAATCACGTCTATTCAGGCCCAAGCTGCCCTCCCGAGGCCGATATGAGAATATGCAGACTATCTCTTGTTCGATGTGGAATTGTGGAATCGTTCACTTTGAAGTGATTTTCTGGTTATGATTGTGGCTACGATGTTCGAAGGTACCTATGTCATTTGGTCGGTTGCCCACTTCCAAGCCGAAGATGTCTGGAGCCGATTTCCTCAGTAGATATGTGCGCACAATGATCAGAGTTTCGTAGAGCAGCCAAAGGAAGGAAAAGAGGCTGAGAGTTTACGTTCAGGATGTGCGCGGGCGCGTCGCGGACGCGTCAGACAGTTAGCCAGGTTGGGTTAGCGCTTGAAACGCCTCCTGCAACATTCCATCCAAGCTCCCGACCCTTTTAGCCCCTGGGAAACGGTTTGAGCGCAACACAGCGACATCCGCACTACCCTCGATCATAAGTGTAGTGTACGACCCTCGTTTAAAACCACGTTTTCGATAAGCCCGATCTATATCCATTCAGTGAGATGGCACCTCCGGAAAAGCGCCCTATGATCCCGAAGAGTGCGCACACTTTAAGCAAGCTACCCGAGTACGAGGCCCATTAACCTTGAGCTCATGGAATTCTGACAAATCAAACGTAGCTTGAGTAGCAACATCATCAAGGTCAGGCTCGGCATCAACAATTTCAACTACGATGAGCCAGGCGAGCTGGGGCCGACCGAGGCAAAGGTCGATCCGCGACAGAAAAGAATCGAGGACTACTTCAATCCTACCCCCAAACTTGATAAATTGAATAGCATGCCGGGCCAAATCAACATTCAAAGCGGCACAGGGAACCGGAACAATGAGCGTGTGTCATTTGTACATACGAGTGTTTTATGCCAAACGTCCGCTTTCTTCCAGACTGCTACGAAGCAGATATGGCGGGGCCAAACTCGAAAGCCTATCGATCTTACCACAGAAAACTATGGTATCTTCCAACAGTACCTACAGTGGCTATACAGTGGCAGGATCGCAATACATTGGTGCCCAGAGCCTGACAAAAATATTCCAAACAGTTCGTACAAGGCGACCCACGACTTGTTGGAACAGTATCTCTTTGGAGGCAGGATGCTGGATCCAACCTTCCAGAACGCTGTCATCAGAGCTTTTATGGACTGCATAAGTAACGCGCATACTTTTCCGACTTGGAACAAGATTAGGGATGTGTACAAAGGCACTATGGAGAACTCTCCGATCCGGAAGCTCCTCTTGGATATTTTGGCATCCCTAGCAGACAAGACTTGGAGCTTTGATAATATCGTAGAGGAGGCTGGTGAAGAGTTTACCAATGATCTAGTAGCTACGTTGGCGGTGAAACGACAAAAGCCTGGATCGAGCTGCAAATGCAAACACATGAATCAATGGGCTTGCCCACAAACCCAGACGAGATACTTCTGCGAGATTCCCGATGATAAGAAAAGAGGGGGAGCTCCTGCATAAACTATGTAAACGTTATCGAACAAAGACAAGGAAGGACTACTACACGTCAGCCTCTTACGTACCATTGTTTACGTTTTGATTCCGCATAACTTGTTGCAGCAAAAGGATAAGAATGCTCAAGTGTACTCGATGTAAGCTAATCTCAATACGCTGGCGTTGCGCCAAGAATATCCCAGTCTTGATGGGGTCGAAATTGCCCGCCCTGGGAGCAATCACAACACCCGTGGACGGTTCCTTCACTGCGGACAAACGCGCAGCGCTAACCAAAAACCGGACTAGCGACGATGCGCTCTCACCTCAAACTGTGGTCCGCGGTGCAATCAAACATCCTTTCGCACTTCTCACGCCGTCAATCGACTTCCAAAGACTTGATCGATCCACAATGGCGCCCAAAACCGATCGACCAGCGAAGCGAAGAAAGCTTCTCCCTCGGGGTGTCGCTGATTCTCGCGATTTACTTGAGTAGGTTCTACATGCACATGATTCTTGGAACGATCCTAACACGGCATAGTGTAAGCAGCGAAATACTCATGGTCAAGGTCGGGAGTGGCGACGATCCAGTCCAACCGAGTGCAGCATGCGAAAATTGCGGCAAGAAGGAAGGCGAGCAGCAACGTGCGAAAGATCTTGCTGATAATATGAACCAAGAAGATGGACAAGGTGCAGGAGAACTCGAGAAGCAAAACGTAGTTCTTGTCCAGGGTGACGACAAGGGTGCTGGCACAGACTCCGACAAGGACGGCGCAATTGACAAAGAGAGCGACGAGAACAGCAACGAAAGTGACGACAGCGATGACGACAGCGATATCGACTCAGGAATCTCCGACCAACGCATCTTCCATGTCCACAAAAGCGTTCTCTGCAAGACATCCGCCTTCTTCCAAAATGCAACGAAGCCAGAATGGACTGGTCCAACACCGCGACCTACAGATCTTTCTGACGAGCTTCCAGAAATCTTCCATTTGTATGTGCAATGGTTGTACAGTGGGAAGATCGCCGTCGAGATCACGCCCTCCAGTGACTCGGATACGGACGTTCGCAAACACGAGAACGTGGATTATCATTCACTGATTCAGTCGTACATACTTGGAGAGAAGCTCATGGATACCACATTTCAGAACGCAGTACTGCAATGTTTGATCGAGTGCGTGGAGCAAGCAGACTGTTTTCCCGGTGACCGGACTATCAGGACGGCCTATAAGCGCACGATAAAGCACTCGCCTCTTCGTAAATTGCTGGTCGACTTCTGGGTGTGGCACGGCGATTCTGAGGGGGCGGCTGATGACATGAATGCGAGCCTGGGGACCGACTTCACGAACGACTTACTTAAGGCCATGCTTGAAGCGCGTCCTAGTCCGGACACGAATAAAGCGAAGGTCCAGCCTCCTTGGCTGACACATCCGGAGATCTACAGCATAAAGGATAACAAGAAGACCGCCAAAGACACCAGCAACAGCTGAGATGTCGCGAACGAGTAGCGTGGAGTGTGTCTGCAAATGTTGCTGAGATTTGTGAGAGGAAGTGTTGTACGAGGCCCTTCACGATACACTGAGATGGTAGATTACAACACAGGAAAGGAGGAATCTTGTAGAGTCCTGCAACTCGAAGCTTTTACTGGATACCTGCGTGCAAGTCGCAGCTAGGCTAAGAGCTTGGTAATGACAACCAAAGACGAGTATTAACAATGAAGGCTAGCATGTGCCCGTAAATTCAGTACTATGTTCCCCTAAATCGTGTATCTGAATCGTGGGCTGTCATCGCCCATCTCTGCAATATCCTCATCGCTCATCCCTTCAACCAGATGCTCTTCCTCACCCTTCTCACGTCTCGAGTTGATGCGCCCAAGATGGAACCACATGACAGCGTAGCATATACAAGCAAAAGCCACCATAGCCATAGTGATACCATGACCCTTGACGAAGCGGGGGCGATCAGCCGTGGGATAGATCTAGCGATCCGTTAGCAGCGTTTCCACATGGAGCCAAGTAATTACGAATAGACTTACAAAAGCACTCATAATACCCGCACAGTTACCGATGCTTAACTGCAGCCCTGTCGCAGTGGTCCTCTTTCCATATCGTGGCAGGTTTGTAGGTAGCCAAGCTAATGGCAGACCAACACATACATACAAGCCCATTGCGACAAGGAAGCAGCCAGCGTAATGAACGCCTGAACTGGCATCGCTGATCAACATGGCGTATCCGACGATGCTCACCACGCCGAGCAATATGCTGTAAAATCCACGCTTCTGCTGTTTATCGGAGAAACGCGCAACAACCAGGTAGGTAATGGCACCCAGTGCATAGCACGGAATCGTAAGGACCTGCACCATCGCGCTGCTGGCGGTAGTGTTGATCGACCTGATAATCGTCGGCAGGAAAGTAGAGTAGCCGTAAAGCATGGTATCGCTTCCGAATTGGGCAAAGCAGAATACCCAGACCTTCCAGTCCTTGACGCACTTCCTTACGTCCTCCCAGTGAAATTCCGCTGCTTTCTTGGTGTACCCTGTCTGGCGCTTGAGGCGAGCGGCGGCGAAAGCCTTCTCTTCGGCGGTAAAGAAGTAGGCAGTTTCCGGGGTGTCCGGCAGGATGAACCAGGTCGCGATACCCAGGACGAAGGTGGGAATACCTTCGATGATCATGATCCAGCGCCATCCTCGCAGGCCAGCCGTACCATCCATATGTCCAATAGCGTACGCAAGTAGTCCGCCGCAGGCTCCAGCCAGGGCAGCAGAGACGAAGAGGTATCCAATGCGTAGAGCAAGTTCGCGCTTGGTGTAGAAGAATGTCAAGTAAATGGCCATTCCGGGGAACAACCCTCCTTCCACGGCGCCAAGAAGAAGGCGGCATGCGATCAGACCGCCGTAGCTCTGCACGATACCGGTCAAGGTCGCGATGATACCCCATGCGACAGTGATAAAGGCTATCCATCGCGAGGGCGTAAGTTTCTTCAGCACCAGATTTGATGGTACTTCGGACAGGATGTACGTGACGAACAGAATAGAGACGGCTGTCTGAAATTGAGAATCTCCCATATTTAGATCTTCTTGTAGACCATATAGACGGGCGTTACCGATGTTGACTCTGCAATCGCGTAAGCAAATTTCTCGTACAAGCTGCTGCAGACTCCCAATCGCATCCAGTCTGGATAGACGACGCACTAATCAGAAAGATCCAAACTCACCTGTCCAGAAAACTGAGCAAGTACAGCAGCATAACCACCGGAATGACGAAAAGATCCAGCTTGCGCACAATCTTTGCTTCCAAAACCGGGTCGATGCCTTCTAGCTGCCTACCAATCTCATCGCTCTCTTTCGCGGCATCAGGCACAGCCGGATCGTACTGTTTCTCGATGTCGCTCATGGTGTTGTCAGGCGTCCTCGCCTAACAGTGGCTCGGAGAATTAAGCAACAGTGATGATCGATGACTCCACGTGAGGAAAATCGGCTGTCGCGTTAAAAACGCAAGATTGCGGCAAATGCGTCAGGAAGGGATGGTGAAGAAAAAGGCAGCGAGCGTCGCGTTCTTAATGCATCCGGCCGAAAGTCTGATCCGTCATCATGTAGCAACTCCACGACTTTGCCACGGAAGGGAAATGCTCATGCTTTAAATTCGTCGACGGCCTACGGCTTCGACATCGGACGAGTCTGCAAGGGGGCCCACTCTGAACATGTCGCCCGCGGGCAGATCCATGGCGGGGGGCTGGAGCCAATGGAGCACGGAGCTAACGGTTTGCGGTATGACGTTGACGGCTACCCTGCCGGTAACACAGATACGACTGCTGGGCAACTGATAACGAACCACACGCGTCGCTGTGGCCTATTGTCCGCCAATGTTCCAAGGTTGGGGGAGATATCAGACAAAGGATGGGGGTGCTCGCGTGCCCTTTTGAGAGAAGTGGTGGGGACAGGCATCCGGTGTGGTTTGACATGTTCGTCGCGTTAGTCCGCTGTCATGCATCGCTTAGGCAATGCGATTAGTCCTGTCTGACCAAACAATTGCTCCAACAGGACTTGGAGACGCGATTGCATCACATCACACTTTGTTGTGCAGATCAGCGCTGATCCTGAACGCGTTCCACAACACGAGCTAATCACTAATTGATACCATTTGAGTGGGGATTGCCATTCTCAAGCAGACAGACGCCCTCATACCAACTCAGACGATGTCAGCGACGGATAACTAAAGGGCGTCGTATCCCAATCGATAGGCAGTACGATGCCAGAGGATATGTCGATCTGCGCTGAGGGATCAACAGGCCACCCCAAGTCGTCGCGCGGAAAGTCGATCTCAGCCACTGCAGGTTCCATATCCACGCTCACGGTATGCTGGACGCAGGTACCGGCAAGATTTGACCGTGCAATCGCACGAACCTCCTTCGCCATTTTCATTCCAAGTGGCCATATAGTTCCCATCGTGTTCAGAAAGCCGATGCTGAGACGCACACGATCTCGCGCTATCGACAGCGCCTGCCCATCCAATAGATAGGTACATACAGACACTTGTGCTGCCGCGAGTTGCGCGGTTAGGCACATGATAAAAACATTGTGCTTTTCGAGAGCGCATGGTATTGCGAGGAGTTTGGTATGCATTTCGGTCGCCTTGAGCACACGTGCGGTATGTGTGTTTCGCCCAGTTTTTGGTGTCAGCGTAAAGGGAGAAGGAGGCAGAAAAGACTGCGTGGTCATCTCTTCAGGAAGGTGAGGTAGTGACGAGAAGGGCCTATGCAGTGTTGAGATTACTCTGTCCTTGTTAGCATGACAGTAGCAGTGGATGGAGGAAGGAATTACATCGCAGCACACATATGCGCCATGTACCTGTTGCACGTATGATTAGCGATCATGTTTTCGTCCGGCTGACGGTGTGGCATACATCACCTCATCTACTTGGCCATCGGGTCGAAGCGGGTCCTTCTTACAAGCTGGCAGCATCGCCGACCAAATCGCCAATTTCATGTCGCAGTTCTCGGTCATCGTTTCGCTAAATGTAGCAGTGTCGATAAAGGACTTCATGGCTGGAACTGTTAGACACCATACGAAGTAGATAACGGCTCTCATTGAGTACTTCCACCTGTGGTCTGTACTTACTGCAAGCGATGATCATTCCGATATCATAAAGATATACGATCGAAGAGTAAACGATCTCAATTTCTGCGAATTCACGGGCCTGGTACTCAGCCCAAGTCATCAAAGGCGGAATGTTCTGCTCGTGTCAGCTATTATCTCTATCTGCGCACTATCTCGACATACACCTGACTCAAAGTACTCATCATCGCATGGCAAATCAACGTTGTTCGATGTGAGAAGTAGTGTGTAGAAGGGCGTGTTGGTGACAAGGGCGAAGTTTTGATCCACAATATAAAGTACGTAAAACGTTCGCCTCCAACACTCTTCCAGTACAGCGCTACCTTCACCATACGCTCGAGCAAAGTCTCTTTCATTCATACGCAATTCTAATGCGATTGTGATAGCTTTGTCCAGGTGCTTACGAGCCTCGGCTCTGGAAATGCTGTGAAACTCAGCAAGAGCAAATAGCAGCAGTGCTTGAACGTTGAATGATGTATGCGCAAGGTCGGGTGACGTGACAGCTTCTAATGCTATCATCCGGTAGGGTTCAGATGAAGTCCAAGGGGCATAAATTGATCCAATCCATTCCAAGACGGACAGTAGTGCGGTCATTCCATGGTTCTCGTGTAGGCGCCTGGCTTGCAGATAGTGGAGAGGCAGTACAACTGGCCATGAAGACCAAAAATATTCGAAGTACAAATCGATGAGTCGTTCATTGTCGACTTGGAAGATCATTCGATTTCGCTGGCTCTCGTTCCGTCCACGAAGAAGTATGGAAGAACCTGATGAACCGCTCTCAAAGGACCCCAGGCTAGATTGGTCGGATGGGGATGGCGCTGGTAACTGGAGTTTTCCGCTGGTCAAGTTTTTGGGTTCTTGTTGCAGTCGTAGATGTCGCTCCGCAAGTGCAGCTTTGCTGAGACCTCCTCTTCTAGATTTTTGATAGATGCATTCTTTCCCGTCGCGCCTGCATCTGTTGCAGGCGGGTTGTGTGGAGTCACACTTTACGTGTCTATTGCGACACTGGATACAGGCCAGCACTACTCGTTCAATCCGTTTCGGATCCGACGATGGCTCCATGGTTGAAGAAAAACGAGAGGAAGACCGTAGGTTGCGATGGGATCACGGCCGTAACTGGGGGCACCGCCAAAGGAGATCTTACGCGTCAACCGTGGAAGGTCAAAGTCAAGATCATCCAAAAATAGTCATACATTCCGGTGAGTGGAAGACGAGCACGACGCGTAGGGCTGATCTGACTGGTTACACAGCGTGTCAAGGTGGGCGCCTGCCGAGTCGGCAAGAGTCGGATGAGCATCAGCATTGGGGGCCGCTCCCTCTTCATTAAGATGTTACGTTGAAAACCACAAATTCTCAACACGGTTTAGGCATGAACAG